TCATTGTTGGAACCTTTGGTGGGCTAAAACAATCATACCTTGTCTTTTGAGAAAACAACCTTAAAATGGATCTCAATCAATCAAGAGATAATAAGTCAATGGATAATATATAAATGAAACAATGTTCAATAAACAAAGTTCTTTTTCTTGAAGGACAAGTAAAATATGATATGCTGGTTTTTAATCTAAAAAATGGAGGCCGTTAACCTAAAAAGTGACCTTGTATAAATACTACTACAAGCATGGGCTTCATTTTGGCCATGCATTACATTTTCCAGGCCCAAATCGTTACCCTCCTATTACCTACTATGCCACGTAGCCACCTACTATTGGTTCTTTTTACTGTTCATCTACCATTGTAAGTCTGCCACACGTCCCTTTTTCCTCGTAGTTGTCCCTGTACGGTCTTCACAGTGCTGAGGAAGTACATTACAGCGTTACCTCGCTTAGTTACCTCGCCTGGCCCAATCTTCCCTCGCATGCAGCTTTCTTCACTTACCTCGCTTGCCTTGGCCTATTATGCTATTGGACATTCTTACCCTCGGGCTCTCGGGCTTTCCCATTTGCAGACTCTTGGGATTTACTTCAAATGGCTCATTACTCCTTTATCCTTTGAGGCAAAACGGTCCGGATCAACAGCCTCTTCTTTTCTCAATTCTAACGGGTCACCGGCTATCGCCAGATTTGTAACCACCGCTTCGTGCTACAGAGATCTCTCGCGGAGCGCTGAGGGTTGATGTTGTTCGATGCACTATGTCGAGATCTCAACCGTGGATTTCAGTCTCAGAAATATCAGTTTCCATGGATTATCGAGATCCAACATCTCAATCCACTAATACAGAGTATTTTTTGAATATTTTGCGCAATTAGTCTAAATTCTCCATAAGCGATTTTTTTTAATACAAATGGCTAAAATAGGTTTTTCCTTGTTAATTGAAATTCAGTATTGTATTTTCTAATTTCTTTCTAATTAATATGTGTTGTTTAGACGTATATCATGTTTTCGTCGTGTTTTTTATTCTGCAAGTGCGTTCTTTTTTTGTTTTTGTTTTTTTCTGAAAAGTTATTGCTTAGTTAAAATTTGTTTACTGTGATAATCATGTTGTGACTGAAAAGAAATTAAAATATTAAAAATAATAATAGAATTAAGGAATGAATTTGTCCATATGTATGCTGTTTAATATTGGAATTGACTTTGTCCATTGTGAGTACAATGTTTGTATTATGTAAAGCCAATGTCCAAATTATTTTGTACCAGTGGGTGTAGGGATTGTACAATTGTTTTGTTTTTCTTTTTTTTTTTTTCTTTTTTTCTATATTTGTTATTGCATTTATGGATCTAGCAACGCAATGGATTTCAAGTCCAAGAGCAGACACCACACCATGTTGCTGTAGTACAGTACTCGGAACGACGCTCGTCGGCCTTGTTGGTGGTGGTGTTGCACTTTTTTCTAGCTAGGACATAATAGTGGATTTATGTTTCGAATAGTGAATTTACGAATGGAGGATTTATAAATAATTATGTACATAATTTTATAGTGGTTTTCAATAAGTATATACAAAATTTTATAGTGGTTTTCAATAATTATGTACAGATTTTTATAGTAGTTTTCAATAATTAACCTAATCCACTATAAAAATCTGTTAAAAATTTATAGTGGTTTTCAATAATTATGTAGTGAATTTCGATAAATTTGTAGTGGATTTTAAATTCTTGCTTTTGAAATGAAATTGTTTAATGAATTAAACTGACAAGTCGTTACCTTTTTTTTCTTCTTTGGTTCAGGTTCTTGAGCATCCAAAGTGATGTCGTATTTGTTTGTCTACATTTGTTAATAGTGGATTTGGATGAACATGTACTGGATTACACTAATTTAACAGTGGTTTATATTAATTTAATAGTGGATTACGTTAATATTAATGTGGATTATGCTTATTTCATACTAATTTTTACTTTAATTCCATAGTGGTTTTCGATAAATTTATGCTTATTTATAGTAATTTTTACTTCAATTTCATAGTGGTTTTCGATAAATTTAGTAGTTTTCGATGAGTATGTAGTGGATTTCATTTTTTTAAATATGAACCATTTAAAAAAGTGAAATTAAAAACAACAAAAATCATTTTTTTTTTAAATTGATATAAAAAAAACATTTAAAAAATGATAGAATTAAACTGAAATGGCGTGATAGGGGAGAGAATAGGGGGGTGGAGTGAGGAGAAAATAGGGGATTTGAATATCTACCAAAAAATAATGGACTTTTCAAAATAATATAATATGTTAATTTTCAATAATATTAAATAGGGGCATTTTGGATAATTTGAGTCAATTGGGTTTATATCAAATATCAATTAAAAAAAATGGATTTATCAAGAAGTAAAAATTCAATGAGGGGTTTCCGTCATATGAAATGTTAAATCCCACACTAAATTTACTAAATCCTACACACAACTCAAAATATTTTTCTCTCTAAAATATTTTCTTCTCTCATTCTCCACCCTTCTTCTTTTCCCTTAATTTTTTTCACAAAATCACACACTAAAAACGTCCCTAGCATTTCAAGTTCGAATTTGAGAACAACTTCACGTGTTCAAACTAAAAAAAAATTGGAATTTGAGGAAAAAATCGAATTGATATGAATTTGAATAATTAAAAAGCTTAATGACATTGAATAAATATTAAATTGAACTCATTTTTTATTATTATTCTCGTAAAAAATGAAATTGAATAAATATTAAATAAAATTGAACTCATTTTTTATTATTATTCACGTAAAAAATTAATAAATTTTGAGTTACTTGGATAATAGTATCTTAGAGAGAATATGAGTAGAGATTTATTTTTTAATTTAGGTGTGGATTTAGTAAAATTTAGTGTGAGATTTAGCACGCCCCTTTTGTCATATAGCCCCAAAATAGATTGACGCCCCTTTTGGTTGGAGGGATGGGGTGGGATGGGATTGGGGCTTTATTTTGAAATTATACTGCATGGATTAGTAAAATATGGATGGGTTCTTCGGTTTGGTTGGTTGGATTCAGATATGTGGTATTGGATCCGAATGAGCCAAACTCTGAAATGGTTGGGTTGATTGGGTAGGATAATTTGGTTAATTACATTACCACCTCTTGCTTTTTATTATGGAATGTTTGTGCATAGGTCCCTAACCAAACATCTTTATTATTCTAGATTTAGGGAATATATCTCTTTCACCAATAAGTCCATCCCTTTAATATTTATTATAAATAAAAGAAACATTCACGTATATGACAATATTACCCCCAACCCTTTATATCCAATTCCTAATTGTAACCCCAATTTAATCAATTTTGTCAACAAAAAAAAAGCAATTTTGACCACATAAATCCAATTTTGACTTTTTTTTTTCAAACTTATTTTTTTCAAAAAAAAAATTTTTGCCGCCGGATTCCGGCATTGACTTTTCGATTATTTTATTTATTTATTTTTTCTGGTCTGTTTTTTTCCGCCGCCAGATTCCGGCATTGCCTTTTTTTTTACCTTCCCCGCTAAACGTTGACTGTAATTATGCTATCAATGACGGTAAATTAACGTAATTATACTGTCAATGACAGTACATTAACGTAATTGTACTGTCGTTAACAATACATTTATGTAATTGTTCTGCCGTTGGCACTAAATTAACATAATATTATTATTATTTTTTTTTTTGTTATTTTTTTTAACTTTGTTTGATTTATCGACAAGTCAACGTATTTATATTACTGTCGTTGACTGTAAAATAACTGTAAACACAATAATATACTGTCAACCACATCAATATTTTTATTTTTTTGGGTGTTTTTGTTTTGTTTGAGTTATTCAAACGCAATAATATTACTGTCTATTATTGTAATATTACTGTAAACACAATAATATTACTGTTGTTGATGGTAATAATATTACTGTCTATTATAAATATCTGGCGAACTTTTTTTTTTTTTGATTGAAGATGTAAATAATATAAATCAAAAAAAAGTCGTAGACAATTACAACGGGCATACCCAAGGGAATTGAGGCAATAAGAAATAGCAACAAGCTATCGAAAACATAAAAGACATAAAGAACAAAATAACGATTGGGGTTAGCCCCCTACGCCTAATGGGCGAACTTTCTTTTATCTTTTGAGCATTGATAAGCTTATGTGTAAAGTGTCCAATATGCAAATCAACTTATGGGAGGGAACAAAACTCACACAACTCTCGAAAGGTCTTCCATCCGGATGGCAGGTACTTTAATTTTGTGGCCCTATTATGAGAAAATACGAAAATTGTCATGTTATTTATTAATTTCAACTCTGTATTTTCCTTTTTCTTTTCCTCAGGTTTTCTTGGATGACTCTTCAAAGCAAGTCTACTATTTAAACATGTTACAACCTGGACCAGGCCCACTGACTAGATATTTATTACAATTTTATTTTCACACTAATGTAATGTAAAATTGTTTAGTGTAGCATAAATAAATTTTGAAGTGGCAACATTGTCGTGTTTGATCTCTCTTTTTCATTTTTCTCCTTTTGAGTAAATAATTGTGCTCGTAGAATCACTTTTGAGTTAAGTGATTAAATCAATGTTTGTAAACTAAGTTGGAATTAAATGCTTATTACTGAAAGTTGGGGTATCTGCAAATACATCGGAAATTAACTTTAAATAGAAAAAGTAGGTTCGATAGTTTTTTTTTTAAATAATAGCTTAAAGCAGTTTAGTTTCTAGGGAAGCAAGAAGAAAATCAAATGTTGCAAAAACTGTTACTCAAATACAGATTATGAGGAAAACAAACTCATACGTTGTTTCTAAAAACATTTGCATTTATTCCCGTCAAAAAAAAAAAAAAAAAACAAAATCTGATTTCAGTTCCACAAAGATTCTGAGTTACAAATGGAACAAATCTAAATTCCCTTTGACCAAATTAGTACAAGAAATTACATTATTTCTAAGCATGATACTAAGATCAAATAGACTAGTGCTAAATTAATTGCAGGCCTTCAGGATTGGCATTGAAGCCTCGGCACAATTTTCCGGATCAACCAATTCACCATAATCTTGTTTCCGATTCTCGTCAAATTAATCCCGTCCCAGCTAATGTACCTATTACGACCCATGAAATTATTGACGCCGCCAAGACCACACATTGTCGTTACGTTGAAGTTGTAGTCGCCTCCGATCCCGCAACAAGCTCTTTCCGTGTCGAAATCTGCATTCAACCAATAGAATCGTCAAAAAACGCAATTAGAATTATATTATATTCAATAATTTAGAAGAAGAATTAACACGTGCTGATTATATTTATATATAAATATTCATGTTCGACTGAGAAATAATTAATTACGCACCGTTCAATGTGGCGATCCGGTGGAGGTGTTTATAAGCTTGGTAGTAATCTCCGTAAACTAGTACTGCATTCGGATTCTCTCGCATGAGCCCGTTAATGCCTTCTTGCAGTTGTTCGTTGTGGTTTTTCGCTAAATCGTTGAGTTGATTGAGACATTGATTTTCGTCGTAGTTTGTCGAGACATTGCTTTGGAATAGCGTTTTGTAAATCGGGAGACACCCGATCGGGAATATTCCGGGAATCACCACTCTTCTAACTCCCAAATTAATTACTCCCTGCAATTTATACATGAAATAATAAATCAATATTTCGATCTAAGTCTAATAATTGGGAATTGACTTCTTCTAATAATAATAATAATAATAATAATAATAATAATAATAATAATAATAATAATAATAATAATAATAATAATAATAATAATAATAATAATAATAATAATAATAATAATAATAATAATAATAATAATAATAATAATAATAATAATAATAATAATAATAATAATAATAATAATAATTATTATTCTTATTATTATTATTATTATTATTACCTGCAGTCATAATACATCTTTATCTCATCATGAATATCTGGACCACCATGTGTGTTTTGAGACTTGTGAAATGCAACTGTAACCCTATCATGCCCCTTATTGACGTACTTGAAAAGATATTTGATGAACTTATTCTGGTTGCACAACTCAATACCTTGCCTCATCTTCTGACACGTGGCAACTTAGGGTTTCTAACCCTAGGGTTTCTAACCCTATGGTAAGTTTTATAATTTTTATTATTTTTGGGTGTAAAAATGAAAAAACCCATATTTCAACTCCCCTAAATTCTATCTGCCGTTGTTCATCGCCATCCCTAATTTTCCTCTAATTTCTTATACCCACTTCCTCAACTTCAGAAACCGCCGATTGAAATCAGTTTTTCCCATCGATTTAATAACTTCTCATCTCCAATTTCATGTCTCATCTCTATACAACACAAATCTTTCAACAATTATTACTTCCCACAAAATTGAAGCTCTTACTTTCCACAAAATTGAAGCTCTAAAATCCACCGGCCAAAAGTTCAACAAAAATCGTCCGGGAGTCAGATTGAAGAACCCTTTGCTGCCAACAAGAGCCACTGCCAACGGTTTTAATGTCAAGTAAGAAATTTTTATTCCACATTTTTTTCTATAATCTGTATAAGAGCTTAAATTATTAACAGTAATAATTGGGACACGTGAATTATTCCCACATCTCCTTGAATGTTTGGCCTAGCAAAGAGCCTCAATCCATGTATTTTCTTTTTTTTTTTTGCTGAAGCATGTGTTGTTTGTTTATTTTTTTTTTCAATTTTTATGGTAATATGATTCAAGAGAAAGGGCCAAGCTCTAAAATCCACCGGCCAAAAGTTCAACAAAAATCGTCCGGGAGTCAGATTGAAGAACCCTTTGCTGCCAACAAGAGCCACTGCCAACGGTTTTAATTTCAAGTAAGAAATTTTTATTCCACAATTTTTTCTATAATCAGTATAAGAGCTTAAATTATTAACAGTAATAATTGGGACACGTGAATTATTCCCACATCTCCTTGAATGTTTGGCCTAGCAAAGAGCCTCAATCCATGTATTTTCTTTTTTTTTTTGCTGAAGCATGTGTTGTTTGTTTATTTTTTTTCAATTTTTTTGGTAATATGATTCAAGAGAAAGGGCCGTCAAAAGGTGAACATGTTTTTCGTTTTCTTGGTCGATAGAATGTGAGGGAATTGTTTTCCCCCGTCTTTGCTGTATCTCCATCTCATAGCCGATTTCTGAAATCAATTTATTTGTACTCCACGTTGTCATATAATTGATGCCGTTTTTATGTGCAGATTGTTCGAAGTTACCAAATTAAAAGTTGTTCCGTACTATATAAAAATATCTTACAAAAATAATATCAGATTTGAATGGAGCATATACACTGATTTTCTATTCCATATATCATGTAGATATGGCGCCGCAAGTAACATGTTTCAATGATATAACACCGGACCGCTTTAACTGGAAAGTGGTGGCTCGGGTCATTCGACTTTGGAAAGTTCCTAGCAAGATCGACCAAACTATTATTAATAGTATTGATATGATCTTAGTCGATGGGCAGGTCATTATTTATTTACAAAATTTATTTCTCTTATGGCTAATTAAATTCTGTTTATTGGCTTATTGATATTGTGGCATATATTTTTTCAGGGAGGAAAAATTCATGCGTCTATAAAAAAGACTCAAGTGAACAATTTTTATAATATTGTAAAAGAAGGTAATACTTATGTCTTTCAGAATATTTTGGTAGTTCCGAACGATGGGAAGTACAGGGCTACTCGCAATGCTCACAAGATCATATTTATAAAAACTACTCGGGTAACTAATTGCAAAGTCGAGAATATTCCAGGCATCACTTATGACTTTACGAATTTTCTTGACATCATTACTGACGGGGATGACACATGGCTTATTGGTAAAATATTTTTAAAATATTAAAATATGTGTTTTCTTAATTTATTATACAAACATTGCAATATTTTTTACGCATATACTTTTTTTTCTTTCAGATGTTATTGGACATGTTATAGAAAGAGATGAAGTGAAAGATATTAACAAAAGTGGACACAGCCACAAGATACTAGAGATCACTCTTCAAGACTTATCGTGAGTATTTTTAGATTATATACAGTAAATTCAATTGATGCTGAATGGTTTCGTATTTATGATCTTCTAATTTATGTCATGTGGTTCTCAGAGAAGAATTGGAGACAACCCAGTACTTATGAATTCAAAGAAATTATTTCAGCAACTTAATGTGGATGCATTTTCAATGGTTGAATCCCAGAGATTAAATTCCATAAGGCTTAACCAATCTCAACTAAGGGTTGATAAGTACAAGAGCATTGAAGAAAGAGTTGGAAGTGGAGATAATGATGGCAAATCAGTTGGTACACGAATTATTATTCCAGCAACATTTACAAATGGCCCAAGATATATGTTCAACAACTTCATGGACGCACTACAAATATGTAATTGGATCGGGTTCCCATCATTGTTTATAACTATAACATGCAATCCAAAGTGGCCCAAAATACAAAGAGTGTTGCAAGATACGAATTTGCGCCCAGAAGATCGACCTGATGTTCTTTGTCGAATTTTCAAGATGAAGCTTGACAGTTTGATTGCAGATTTGAAGAAAGGACATATTTTCGGACGAATTAAATCATGTAAGTACCAAAATAATATTGATTTCACATATTCAACTATTTTCCAGATAACATAATGTTATTTTTTATTTACTTATTGTTCAGTATGCCACATCATAATTGCATGTTACAAAACTGATATTAATTTCTTTATAAATGTTAAATGCAGACGTTTGTACAATTGAATTTCAAAAGCGCGGACTGCCACATGCGCATATACTACTTTGGCTGCATAATGACGACAAACCCAATTGCTCCGAAGATATTGATCGAATTATTAGTGCGGAAATCCCTGACAAAATTTCTGATAGAAAAATGTATAAATTGGTCAAGAAATACATGATTCACGGTCCGTGTGGTCAAGCTAATATGAAGTCTCCATGCATGAATAATGGTGTTTGCTCAAAACAATTTCCGAAGAGGTTTGTTCAACGTACGGAGGCTGGTGAAGATGGTTATCATTCATACAAGAGAAGGGACAATGGGAGGACTGTTACGAAGAAGAATGTTGTACTAGACAACGGTTTTGTGTCCCCGTATAACCGTGATCTATCGCTGAAATACAGAGCTCACATCAAC